GTCTCTTGGTTTGTGCAAGGCCACCAGGAGGAACAACTAATGCCAATATGACAATTAAAGGAAAAAATGCAAATCAAAAAGGTCTCTTGGAGGAATTAAAAGTATTTATTTGAGGCCAAATGAAAGGAGTAGGAAGGGGAAGTCTGAGGGGAGGCAGAATACAGTTTAGGGCAATCAGACCAGACTACAGAACTTTCTCCAAAACACTTCCAAGTTTCATGAAAAGCTAGGATACCAGATTTCTTCTTCCCATACAGCTACTGATGACTTAATCCAGGATGAGCAACAAGGTTCATTTAACAGTTACTTGCTAGAATTATCAACGTTTCCTATGCGATTATAAAGTGCTGATGTTCCCTATAGCCAGTTATCAACACCTACTGAAATACAAAGTCTTCACTGCGTGTTTGCACAAACTCGATTCCCTTCCTGTCATACTGCAATCACATATGTCTCCAGTGTGACACTGCCCCACGTTCTGCCTGCAGTTCAAAACTGAGAGCAAAACCCCTGAGGTGGCTGTGTGAGGGTCTTGGTTCTGTGGTCACTGTGCTCCCACAAAGACAGCTTTTCAAGGGAAGTATCTGGCCCTTAATGTCAGAATTTTCTCAGCTGTGGTGCTGGACATTCTGGAAAATGGTAATTTATCACAGAAGCCCTGGTTCCTTGGCTAATCTTAACTGGAGCGTTGCTAAGGCAATGCTATCAGGAGTGTGCTCTTCTGAACTGATTTTGCAGTATGCTTTTCAGTATTTGCATACTAAAGCCATTATCGAGGGATTTGTTTTTGCAGAAATGGTGAGAGAAAGAAATAGTTTTCTTTCTGCTTATATAGGAAATCATGCTAAACAGAGAGCATGTATTTTACCAAAACTCATTTAATGAAAAAATGCAAACAGATGAAAGCAGTGTGCTTAAAAGAATAAGTAAAATTCACATCATGTTATACTTTAGAGAGAAGGTATTCCTTCTGTAATTATTTCTAAAGTACATTTGTATTATTCATTGGGACATAAAGGAAGTTACTGACTAAACAGTTTTCACTGTTGGAACTCCCTTGTGCTTTTCACCATTTAGGTTATTTTTAATCTGCCCTCAGTACACAAAAATGATTTTCTAAACCCTGTCTATAATAAACTGTGTGTTCAAGGTATTGTTTCTGCATTTACTGCTATGTGACACCTACAAGATTTTTTTTTGCATTAAAAAAGAAAAAAAGGATTATTTCACATCAGTATAAGGATTTCACAAAGATAACTGTATATTTAAATGGTTTAGTGGTGCTTTCAATAGCAAGAAATCATTCATCAATATCATTCTAATTCTAAATCAAACATAGTGCAAGCCATCTGCAACAATTGCTGCAATTTATCAACACAGAAAATCCTCTGTGCCTTCTTGTTCATTGTTCCAGAATTTGCATTTGTATTCTACTCTTTCATTCAGGTTTTTATAGCTTGCTGACTGCCAGGGTCCCTGATGACATATCTTTTATATTTTTTTATTTTCCCTGTAGTGCTTGATATCAAGAAAATATTTTATGCTACCTATCTCTAAATGGGTTGAATTACTCTACAGACATGTTTTTCTCCTTCTATTCACTATAGAAGGACCTTAAATGACTAACTGAGTGAGATAAATCTCTTTAGTATCTCTGATATAACTCCTTTTTTAAATACAGATGAAATTGTTTAGTAAGTTAAGAATTATTAGAGGTCCTTCTAATAACTCTAACTGTATAATTCTAAGTTCATTGGGAACACAAGTTAAAAATACTTGAAAATTATATTTCATTTTCTAAATATGTTGCTCAAAACAAAATCTACTATCTACTGTTGCCACATTACAGAAATTGTATCATCTTAGTGATCTTTCCACAGAACTTCACAGAATCACAGAATCAACCTTAAAGATCATCAAGTCCAACCATTAATTCCAGCACTGCCAAGTCCACCACTAAACCATGTCTCCAAGTGCCACATCTGCAGGGATGGTGACTCAACCACTTTCCTGGACAGCCTGTTCCAATGCTTGACAAACCCTCCAATGAATAAATTTTTCCTATGCAATACACACAGGAAATATATTTTCATATAGGAATATATTCCTATTTATATGCAACTGCAAGTTGAAAGCTAAATATCACAGTGTACTTTTGATTTTTACAGACACATACACTATGTTTTAAATACCCACTCTCTACATTTTTACTTTGAGCAAATGTATATTGATGACTGGTGGAAAACTGTTTGTTTTTCTATTCATTTACCAGATCTCTCTTTTATCCTCATCTGTGAAAATCCTAAATATTCCCACCTAGTCCCCTGAACAACTCTCAAAAATACAAAAAGGATTTTAACAAACCTACATGCTTAAACACCACAAAATTTTCTGTGTATTTTTACCAATGTTTTATCTCCTAAAAATATATTGAAAAAGAAAAAGCAGGTCTACCTTTCCCAAGAGTGTCTCTAAATATACACTGACTATTCTGATAGCTTCAGTAAAAAAAAAAAAAAACAAAACAAAACCACAAAACAAGAACTCAGAAAACAAACAAACCAACAAACCCCATAAAATACATCTATTTTCTTCTGTTCTTTCCCTCAGAACAAGGAAAAAAATTAAACATTTCACTAAATTCTTAAGTATTCTTCTTTCTGGCTAGCAAATAGGAGAATGTATTAACATTCCGCTGGAAGACTGAAGGACGGAAAAGGCATGGCATGCAGGCTCCAGGCTTGCCCAGGACAAAGTAAGCCTAGGACTTCAACCTGTCCTCTAGACTCCTGGCAAGTATGAATCTTTCAGCTGTGCTGGCATTCTTTCCTTTATGGGAACAGTAATCAAACCTCTTTGGAACCATTACTCACCATAACTGGTGAGGAGGCAATGCCATATTTAGTAGGGATTAGAAACGTACTGGACCAGTGCAGCCCAGCTTCTGGTCAAGGAGATTATCTCACTGGTAATGTCTCCCGGAGTGCTTGGCAAGGTGTAATTGGATTGCTTAAGAGAGTACTAGAAATAAACCTAAACAAAAAAAAAATACTGGAAATAAACACTTCTGATACTGTAAGCATGCACAATCATGTAAAGCCTGTAAAGTCAATCTGTGCTTTACAGGCTGATAGGAATAACATTTTCTGAAACTGTAAATTTTCTAGATCAATATTCTGTCTTCAAGACTTTTCTTCAAACTCACTTTTTGATTTTTCTATTCAGTGAAACAGAAAAGTGAGATGTGAAAGATTTTGTTTGTTTTAATTAGCTGTTTAGAATAAAATCTACCTAGTCCTTCCTACCTAGAAAACACCATGGTCTTAGCACAACACTAAAACTGGCAAAAATGTTTATTGTCTGAAAGCTATGGATCAGATCAGAAAAAGCAGTTAATTATTCACACCCTGTTACAACAGACAATCATTCCCACTAATAGAGCATGCAGCCTCCTCTAGGCTCAGTAAACTCCCATTAATCTTCAGAATCTGAAGCACAAAGTCAGATGGTAACATTTCTGTAAGCATAAGCAACAGCAATAAAAATCCTAAGAACCCTGCATCATAATGTGCATTATCACATCTTTATCTACCTACCCTATTTCAAAAAGTGGGTAAGAAGCAGAAAAGGTGTCAAAGATTTCAGCAGATGGTAGACTAAGGAAAAAGTCATTCTGAATCTAAAATGATTTTCACTTCATTTTCCACTTTAGAAGACAAAATGGTCAAAACATTTGCTGGGTTTTTTCTTGCTGTTTTTACCTCAAGATTGCTTTGTTGAAATACAGGTCATGAAGTATGAGTGATAAGGAATAAAAATTAAAAACTTAGATATTTCCTATATTGGTGCAAAAATTTACTGTACAACGAGGAATTTTCCAGTGACTGTACTATGCAAAATGTTACAGCAACTATTCATCTATCACAGCTGATACAAAATTTGGAGTACTGACTGATACAAGAGATAATAGTGTTGCTGTTTAGAGGGGCCTCAACAGGCCGCAAAAACAGGGAGAGAGGAATCACGTGAAGTGGGAAATGCAAAGTCCTGACCCTGGGGGAGAAGTATCCTAGGCAGTAGTATATGCTGGGGCTCACTGCCTGAGAAGTAGCTTGGGATAGAAAGACCTTGGGGTCCTGATGAACAAGGTAACTACAAGGAAGCAATGCTTCTTTCTGCAAAGGTGGTCAATGGCCATCTGGGGTGCATCAGGAACAACTTTGCCAGCAGGTCAAGGAAGGTAATCCATCCCTTGTCCATAGCACTGGTCAGACATATCTGAAGTGCTGGATCTGCTTCTGGACTCCTCAGTACGAGAAAGATCGGACTTCCTGGAACAAGTCCAGTATGGAGCTATGAAGATGATTAAGGAACTGTAGCATCTGACAGATAAGGAAAGAGCTGCCATGGTTCAGCCTAGGGAAGAGAAGGTCTAGGGGTCCTTATTAAAGTGTATAAATATGTGATGGGAAGTAACGAAGAAGAGGGAGCCAGGAGCTCCTCAGAGGTGCCCAGTGAGAGGACAAGAGGCAGTGGGCACAAACTGAAATGTGTAAAATTCCATTTGGTCACAACTAAGGACATTTTTTTATTGTGAGAGTGGTCAAACACTAAATGATTCCATGATCTGGTGACCAAGGTTTAACATTTTCCCATCTATTTTTAGAACTACTATTTTTAGTCCAGCTACTGCATCTCACATGCCTTACTGCAGATTCAGTCATAAAACCTTCACTTAGTTAAAAATTTCACTACATGATTCTTCCCAACATTCAGGTCTTATGTACCTCCTACTTAAGGATTTTATTCTATATTTTATAAATTTATAAGCAACTACACATCTGAAAAAATACAAACATAAGCGGGACTGATTGTTTTGGCTTCTAGACAAGGTTGATGCTATTTTTTTGTCATGAACAAACAAAGAAAAAAAAGACTACACAAGTTCTTCAATTACACTGTGATTTGTTGTTGACCCAACTAAATGTCACAGTACTCACCACAGGCATTTGATCAAATGTGCGAACAACGGACAATTTATCTGCAAATAAGCAAAACATGTGACCTTTTGATATAATGGCAACATATAAGCATTAATTCTACTGAAAAAGTTATGAATACCCATTTCTACCTGCTGGTTTTCCACGAATAAGCTCCACCTTATCTCGAAGAATATTAATTTGCCTTTCCAGCTGTTTGTTCAGTTCTACTTGTGTCTCATATCTGGTTTTCCATTCATTACCTTAAAAAAATACAGAATTATTATATTTCCCAGATTATTTTATGTCATTTTAAGTAAAAGAATTTTTTTAAACTGTTCCTTTTAACTAACTGGAGACTGAGAAAGGTAGTAATCCTCATAATGAGGATCTTTGCATACAAAAGACCTTGAAAATATAAATCAAGGAAAATTTTCACTGGGCTTACTGTGGCCAGAATATTAACCAACTCTATGAATTCATGTTATTCATAGTTTCATTAATAATTAACCAAAAAAAAGCTAACATGGCTGCATGTAGCATTCCTTAATTTCACATTTGAAACACCACAGTCATGTTTGACAAGAGAAAACTTAAATTTCCAAATAAAAATTTGAACCTCTATACTGTAAAGCTTTCCCAAAAGAATAAATTTTCTGTGTTTCCTAATAAATTAGCAAGACTCTGTTTTAATTCACTTACCTTCATCTTCAACACAGTTAAGTCTTTCTTCCAGTTCTGCTACAGTGTTTCTCAGTTGAAATATTGAGATTTCAAGCATCTGCCTGTGGTATTTAAAGGAGGCAATAAATTGGCTGTTGCATTAGTCCTGTTACTGAAATTAGAAAAAACAGATCAAATATATTTTCAGAAGAAGTATCTATTGGTCATTTCTATGTAATTACATTACCTTGTCCATTTTTAAATGTTCTTTTCTCCGTGGATACTACAGTGCCTTAGAAGCATTTCTACTTTGTGAATAAAATTACTTCCATAAAAACCCAAGACAGACATTTGCTAAAACAGAATAATTTTCTAACAGATCATCAGCATTAAACAAATGTAGAGAAGGCACTGGCCTTAATTTTTCATCTAAAAGAAAATTAACATTTTTTTAAAACAAGAATATGTCTGAGAGATTTGCTATTTGAAGTTGTGAATTCATACTTCATTTTGACTCACTGTTCAATGATTAACAGTCATTTTCTAAACTGTACCCATACAAAACCAATCAAAACAAACCATGTTTTACAACTATCAGAAAAGAAAGACAGTAAATAAAGGGAGTGTTAAAAAATATACAGTAGCTAAAGCCACAGGTTTTTTTCAGTATGTTAATACTGTAGGAAAAAATACTTTTGCCCATTGATTAATTCTGTACATGGGTCACCCAGGCAGTGAAAAGTACCATGAAAATCAGGCTCTTTCTATCTTGGAAGATATGACCAGAAGCAGAAGGTAGCAGAGGACCAAAGGTTCCTGGGTGCCTCAATGTTTCAGAGCCCAGATTGAGATAGTCCAAAAGAACTGAGAACACAACTCTGCAAATAAGGCCCTTTGAAAAATTCTTTACAATATCAATATGACAACTGATGTCTTTGAAACCCTAGCCTAGTTCATTAAAACATGCAGCTGAGAAAATTGTTGTGCTTCATATTTGTTACAGTGGGGGGAGTGTTTGTTTTGTTTTTAAAGGAGAGGTTCCATTGCTAACATGGATCTTAATTTTCTGAATAGTTCATGAGAAATGCTCTTCAAGAAATAGTTATCTAGACTACAGGAAATCAAAGCTCTGATAACAGAGATGATTACTGAGAAATCTCTTAGTATCATCTCTTGCACTCCTTGCACCAACCTTCAGTAGATAACAATTCTTTTTCATAGCCTGAAACATCAGATTTCAACTGGAAACAAACCAACTGATCATAAGGAACTGAAGAGCTATGCTTGGAATAGGGAGGGCTGAAGAGCTGAAATAGTAAAGAAATGTAAAGAAGAGTAATTTAAGGTAATTCAAGTACGACTTCAGTGAAAGAAACATGCTGTAGAACAGCAAGACAGATATCAAAAATGTGGCAAAGGAGAGCTGGGCCTTCCAAGCCCTCCTTGCTCCACTGCTCTTTTTGTCCCTACCAACATTAAATTAGAGAGGAAAAGAAATAGTGACAGTATTGGAAACTTGCTAGAGACAAAAAGGATGTCCTTTTGGATGAAACCCAGCCAAAGATAGCCTTGAAACACGAGTCAAAAAGCTTAGATGTAGGAAAACCAAAGGAAATCTGCTTGCTGCTGCCTGTTTGCTCCCACTCCAAATAAAGGAGGCAGATGGCTAGGAAGAAGAAAGACAAAATTTTACTACATTGCTGCTATCATTCCAACACAAATAGATAAGGTTTCTGCATAGCATATTCTATCAACCTCTCAGAGCTTGGAAAAGAGGAAACCATGATGACAGTGAGTGCTAAAATTAAAGTTTTTGAAGGAAATAACACTGAAAATTAGAAACATTTAATGCTGTAACCAGAGCTGAGCTGTATCAAAATGAAATTGTTTTCCTTTTCCAAGAAATCTTAATTAAGTGCTCAGATGGATGCAGAGGGATGACACACAAAGAATGAGTTCCTTAAATCCCATGTTTTCAGTTTTTAATTTCTGTTAATTCCAAGACTATATACAATATTTCATACATCGGATTTTATTATTCTTTCTGTACCATTAGCAAAACTGCAAGCCAAATTCCAACTATATTTTGACCTGATAAATAGATGTACAGAAATGATAAATGGTCAGGTGTCAGATTGTAATTGCTACACTGACAGAAAGTCTTATTTCCATTTGGCAACAGAAACCCTTTTAAAAAAACTCTAATTGTTATTAAACATTTAATACTCCAGTGGCACCCAGAATGCATCCAGGGTGAAACCTTTTTGTTTTAGTCAGTGTATATGCAGTAAAATACAATCCCTTCTCTGGCAGACAAAGGATGTAGAAATACACCACTTTGACCAACTCAGTAAACATTTCAGCTTTCCAATGTATCAGAATATTTTGCATTTCTGGAGTTATTTCTAATTGTGATAGGAAGTGATGGTCATGGCATGTATCTGTTAGTGTGAATTTAATGCAGCTGTGTATAGGTGTCTACCTGCCTTCCCAGAGACTAGCTCTGTACTTAGAGGGACTGTGCTCTGATTTTACCTGCAACCTCACGTGTTAAACTTAATGAGACATGTTCAAGGCCTATAAATCTTTTCCATGTCAATGGACAATTTATAGTCATCACAGCAGAAAGCCCATAAATCCTGAAAGCTCATCAGGGGAACTTAACAACATCCTTGCATACTAAGCATTAACAAGAAAGCTCTTGTGAAGAAAAGGAGAAAAAAAGCACAGTTCAGATAAGTAGGCTCTGATTGAAACTACAAAAGAGGAAAAAAATGCTAAGTTTCTTTTTAAGGCAGTGTACAGGTGCTATTTTACGTGACAATGACAGTCACTTAGGATGAAAGCCATTTTCCTGCACGTTTTGCTACCCAGACCTGGATATCTTGTACGTGTATCAGGCAAAAGGCTGCCCGAAGCAGTTTTCTATAGTGGAGAGAGAAACCAATGAAACGTTATAGGAGAATCTCGGGGCAAGTCATCAGTTCTAGGGCATCAGCTCTCTAACATGGCAGGCCTTTATTGAGTCCTGTAGAAGACAAAATGCATAGATGCCTTCAGAATCTATGAACAAAGCAGAAACAATATTGCACAGTGCAGAGGCACCACATGGAAGAGCACATACAGTACTGAAAGCTACGGGCGTGTGACACTTGCAGTCAGCAGTGTGCTGGGAAAATGCTGCAGTTTTCCTGGCAAGGAAAGCCACAGAAAATGAAATCTCACAAGCTGAATTAACACACAATATTAGTAAGTAGCTGCCATGCATAAATATATGTCTTTAAGACCTCTTTGTCTGTTAAGATGGATACTGCAGCATTATATGCCTTTCCTCTCTCTCTCTGAAACATGTCATGACATTTCCCAATCAAAATGTGTACTGAATCTTGATTACAACAATTCAGAGTCATATTTAAGCTGACTTTCATTAGAGTCACAAAAGATTTTGAAAGACTTCACACTAGATCCACGATCACTGAGAATCAGCAGGTACTTTAGAGACAGACCCCTTACAGACATGGATGATTCAATTTATTCTGTGAAGAAAAAAAAATCATGACTGGTTAAATGAGAGTGGTAGATGGGCTGTTAGCAAACTGCCTAAATGGCACAATAATCAAATAAGCCAGTAAAAAGATGACAAGGGTGAGATGGCTGTGAAGGAATGCAGACATCTATTTGCAAGCCACTCATCCTCAGCTCGCTTTATACCCCAGGGAAAGAAACTGGCACCTGCTAGGGTGTGAGTCATCTCATGCTAGAACAGCCAGGCAAAGTAGGTCAGATGAATCACACCTTCCAAAAGCCTTTCTGTATTCATTGACTATACATGTCACCAGTCTAACAAGCCTGGTCACTGGCAATTATGTTGAATAAATAATTCCTGTGAAACTGGCAATAATGGTATTGTCTCTTTGTACACACACAAGATATACACAGGAAACAGCTGTAGAATCCACCTGGAGCACCTTTTACTGTCATGCCATCACAATTAAGGATTTTATTAAATATATATTTTGCTTTCATCAGTAAATAAGTCACCACAACTTGACCTGAACTTTGGGCACAGTCTTGCAGAAGATCCTCAGGGATATTAGCAAGAACTTAAGGCACATAAATAATCCACGTTTTCATTAATAAAAAAACCCAAACATATAAATTAAAGCAGTGAAACAAAGCCAATACCATTCTACTTTTTACCTGAACAACAATAATATCAGGATCGTGTGTCAGGTAAAAGAGCCGGTATATGCAGAGGATAACTGATGTATTACCAACACACTACTAAGTCAGGAAACTTAGTGAAAGGAAATTTGCTTACACATTGGTGCAAGTATGTCCAAGCTCTTTTTTGTGACATATCGAACACAGACGGTGCCTATAACCATTTTGACTCTGTTAATATTGGTTTCCCCCTTTCCATTTGTGAATAAACCTTTTTTAAAGTCCACAACTGCAGGACTAGTTTGAAGAGATCTGCAGTTCAGACACTGAAAGAAACACTGTTCAGGGGGAAAATCAATATTAATAGAATGCTTGAAAATAATAAGGAAATGCAAATATCAAGGGTCTGAATTAAGGCAGCACAGGAGCTTCTGACATTTCCCAAGTTTTAATTTACTAACACTCAAAATGCAATCATGCTGTTTAACACAGGGGAAAAATGTGTAACTTCTTAAGTAAACTCGGGAAAAAAGAACCTAGAATGCCATGCCATGAGCATCAACAATCCTCACAGCACTCAAACATTTGCTGCTTAAGGAAGAGGACTGACTGCTAATAGTAACAAGTCTTCATCTCTGCAAACTGCACTACAGAGATGCTGTACCTTTCCTGTAAATTGCAAAGATATTTACTGACAGAAGAGAAGGGTGAACATCCAGCTTTCCAGTTTTACTCAACACCATGGAAAAAAGAGTGTATAAAGAGCACCTCACTGTCCATTTTATCCATCTTCCCCCAACGAGGCATGCACCCATGTGAGGGCTCCTTTATTCTTCCTCCAACATGGATTCCAATCCCAGTGTACTGGTTTTGCCTCATATACATTTAATTCTCTGGTATGGGACTATGTTTTGTATTTGTGATGAAAGTGTTGATAACAGGGATGTCTTAGTTACTGCTGAAGAGTGTTTACACTGTGTTAAGGCCTTTTCTGCTTCTCATACCAGCCCACAGGCGAGTGGGCTGGGGGAGCACAAGAAGTTGGGAAGGGACACAGCTTGGGCAGCTGATCCCAACTGACCCAAGGAATATCCTATGCCACGTAATGTCATCTTCGGAAACAAAAACTGGGGTGGTGGGGCTTGCTGGGGCTGCCTTTCTTTGAGAAAGGTATTAGCCCGCTGGTCGTGAGCACCTGGGGTTTTTTTATTAATTTACTATTCTTGAGTTTATTTTTTATCTTTTCTTTTGCCTTTGTCTCAACCCACAGATTTTCTCACCTTTACCCTTCCGATTCATTCCCCATCCCACTGGGAGGGGAGCGAGCGAGGGGCTGTGCAGCTGTTCAGCTGCCCGATGCGGTTAACCACACCTGGTCCTATTTTCGCTTTTTTGGCTGATACAACTTACCCTGCCCCTTCAGGCTCCTTCGTGCCCCCCCCCAGCCCTCGGGCCAGCCCTTCCTACGGCGCACCAGCCGCAGCTCGGTGCCCTTACAGCAGTGCCGGGCAGACCCCCTAGCCCCGAGCCGGCTGCCCGCACACCGCACCGCCCAGGGCGCCCCACTGCGGCGGCCGCCGCCGCCATTTTGCCGCAGGGAGGCTGTGGGCGGCCCCGCATGGGCGGTGCTGCGGGACGGCTCCTGGGGCCGCTGCCATGCGGCCTCGCCCCGTCCCCCGCCCGCAACTCACTTCCTCCGCTTCTCCCGCCCCAGCTCCAGCGCCAGGCGGTCGGGATCTGCCGCCCGCCGCTCGCCGCCTTCCCCCATCGCGGCCGCCGGCGCCCGCCCCGCCCGCAGCCTCCGCGTCGGCCGGCGTTGCGCGGGGTGACGGCTGCGAGCTCCCGGCGGAGCCCAAGGGTGTGGCGTGGTGTGGCCACGGGCAGGCGGGGGGCTGGCAATGCCGACCCCCGCCTCGGGCACTCCCTTCTCCGCAGCCCTTGCGGCTCTCCCGCTGTTCAGGGGGAGACGGGGCCGGGCGCGACCGGCAGCCGATGTCATGTTCGCCGGCCCCGGCGTGCGCGGCCGCGTCCCGTGCGCCCGCCCGCCCGCCCGCCGCTGCCGTGACAGCCCCGCGTGTGACGGGGCTGCTCTGCCCTCTGACCGGCCAGAGAAACCCCTGGCACCGGGCAGAAATTGCACCAGAAATTGATGGGAAAACACGAAACAGCTTTGGCCTGGTTACGGAGAACATGTAGGGTGAACTGATGTGCTGAACTTTCCATAATTTGGGGAACAGGTGCGGGGTTTTTTTAAAAATCACTTACTCTGGATGGAAAGTAGCACGGTTTTAAATAAACGCTGTGGCCCACGTGTGATGTCAGGCACAGTGTAGTGGAGCCCGGTTTTACGAGGCGCCTAGTCTGTATTTTAGCACCCTCAGTAATTATGATCTGTGTTGTGCACAAACTGGTTTGTAAGACCCTGACTTGAGACAGAAAAGCTTGGAATAATCAGGTCTTAACACTGATCAAGTCAGTGGAGTGAGTTAGTCAATATATAATGGCAAATATTTAAATTCTCTTACCTTGATCTGGATTCGTGCTTTAAAAAATGTTTTATGTTTCATTTTTCAAACAAGAAATTTTAGATCAGTCCATGGCATTCTCAAGGTAAAGCTTTATGGCTTAATCTATCAGCTTTAATTCTGCAAGAGTGGCATCACCTTTGTCAGGTTCTCCCTGCCACCTTCTCTGATCTGCTTCAGTGCCAGCTCTTGACATTTGTGTGACTCTCCATTGAGCCAGTACAGCTCCTGAAACCCTGAAAACTTACATCAGGGAAGATGTTTAATGTTTGTAGTTTCTGTTGGTTGGTGAGCTGAAATGGCTCGCCACCTGCACAGAAAAGCACCAGACTTGATGCAAGTGACAGGGTTAAACTGGGAGTGATTAGTGCACTCTTAGATCAACTTCACAGGATCTAGTGCTCATCTATCGGTTCACTTTCTCAGGAAGGACATGGACTGTAATTTTCCTTTACTGATATACTATGAAAAATAAAGGGTGTAGTTTCTCAGCTCACTAAGTCTGCTGCATGAGTAGCGAGCCAAGTGCAATAGCCCTACCACTTGTTGGCTAACAGAGTCACTGCTTTTAAAATTTAAAACATGAGTTATGTATCACCATTACTTTAATACAGCATAAATCAGTACTGCCATCCAAAAGCCAGCCCTGAAATGTTGTGAATTGTGATCCTAAAGTGGCAGTGTGTGACACTGGAATGGGCCAATCTAACACCTCACTGACACTGCAATAGTGAGGCACTAATCCAGCAGGATCTAGTGTCTGGGAGTAGAACAGTAGGATGGAGAGTGGGAAGCTTGATTCTAAGAAGAAAATGTCATTGTAATTTCACTTGTCTGATATATATTAGAGCAGATAATATTTGAGTCTCAAGTTATAACTGATGCTATCAGCTAATCAGTGACTCATCATGAGGTGTGGATTGAATTCAAAATTTTCTGAAATACTTTAATCAGGAAATAAATTCAGAAGTGCTCTGTGCTGTAACTGCATTTAAATTTAGCTGCTCATTTTGCCTTCATGTTTTACTGAGTGCTACCTTTTTAAGATTCATATTGACAACACTTTTCATACCAAACCAGTAATTTAAGTAATGACTTGGACCTACGTTAGCATTCATAACTAACTCAGGATACTGAATCTTAGCAGCAGAAGTGCTAATCAGTAACCATTTTTCTTGTTACCAGTTTTTGTGAACAACTGCTTCAAGACTAATTTGACCAGCCTGATGGATTGTTCTCCACAAGGAAGGCACATTAAGAGAACTCAGAAAGAGCCCTGGAATCACAAGGAAGTCTGAAAACAAAGGGCACAGCGGAACTGAGAGCTGTTTCCCAGTCACAGTGTATCTCTCCACTCCAGGAGACTTTCATTTGACCTCCTGTTCAGGATACTTTCAGGTCTCAGCCTCAGCTCAGGGAGTGAGGTGTGTTAACCAACCAGGTGTGTTAACTAGGTAAGCGCTCAGAAATTAGGTCACTATGGACATATAGATGTGCCCAGACCACACCGGTTGGATTGGTACATGACAGCAGGTCTAAGTGTGTGCTTCACCTGATGGTTTGGGAACTAAAGTGGGAGAAAAGCAAAAGTTTCTTGTGAACTGAGGTCTTGTGTGAGTGCGTAAAACTTCAAACTTTCAACATTTTCAACAATCACAGCAGTAACATAGTGACACTTGCAACACATGAGAATTTTCTCCATTTCTTTATTCAAAAAAAATCTGTTAAAAATAGATATATGGCTACCTATAAAGGTATTTTCATTGTTTTAAAGTCTTTAATGTTATTTTTGAGATTAAAGTGTTTAGTAAGAAAAGTTAGGAAACTTGGTCACAACGCAGTGTGTTTTGAAAGCAGAAGTTTATACTTAAATATGTAACTTCATATTATGTGAAGGCAGTAAACTGCAAGAGTTACTTGAAAGCAAGGCAGACCAGTTGCTGAAGACAAGCATTTGGATTATAACATAAATTACAGTTATTTCTGTAGCTCCAGTACCTAAAGTGGGATGACTAGTTGTGTGGGCAAGGAGAAACTGTGGATATTGTGTATTTTGACTTTACCAAGGACTTTGATATAGTCTCCCACAGTACCTTTATAGCCAAATTGGTCAGCTGTAGATTGGAAATGCGTCTGTCCTTGAACAGGCAGCAGTCACGAGCACTGAGGCCATGCTGCTGAGAACACAGCTGCGCTGGGCAGGGCACGTCTCCAGGATGCAGGATTACTGCCTCCCTAAGATCGTGCTCTATGGGGAACTTGCCACTGGCTGCTGCAAGAGAGGAGCCCCGAAGAGGAGATACAAGGACTGCCTGAAACAATCTTTCAGCCTTGGCCATATTGATCATCATCGTTGGTCTATTCTGGCCTCCAATCAGGAGACACGGAGACACACTTAATAATGCTGCTGCTTCTTTTGAGAACACACGCAGGATCACTCTCGAGGAGAAAAGACAATGCCAAAAGAACCCTGTCTTGTCGATATCACCTGGGGAGTCTTTCCGCTGTGCCTTCTGCAACCGGCCTTGTCTATCTCACGTTGACCTTTTTAGCCATCAGCGCGCTTGCAGCAAGTGTGGGTAGGGCCCTTCTCAAATCTTTGTTCGTGAAGCCTAGCCATGATGATGATGATGAGATTGGAAAACTGGGTAATAAGACTGATGGAAAATTGGCTGGGCCATCAGGCTCGAAGTGTGATCAGCAGTATGACTACTTGACTTGGGGATCAATACCCGAGCCAGTACCCTTAATTTGTCATTAACAGCCTGGAAGACTGAGCACCTTCTCAGCAAGTTTGATGATGATGATGAATTGAGAGGAGTAGTTAGTACGCAGGGAGGCAGGGCTACCATTCACAGCAGGGTGTACAGCCTGGAAAAACAGGCTGCTGAAAAGAACCTAATGAAATTCAGAAAAAAACAAATGCGAAGCCTGATATCTGGGACAGGAAAAACCCATGGATCAGTACAGGCTGGAGGCAGTCACTAGAATGCAGCTTCATAGGAAAAGACACAGGGGTCTCTGGTGCACAAGCTGCCATGAGCCAGCAACAGACCTTGCACAAAGAATGCCAAGCCTGGGCTGCCTTAGCAAGGGTTTGGCCAAGAGCCTGGGGAGGTGGTTCTTCCACTCTGTTCAGCACTTGTGGGACCACATGCTGGAGTGCTTAGCTTTGGACTCCCAAGGCTGCCTTAGGTCAGGGACTGGCACATATGGCCTATGTTCAGTCTGGAGAATCATAAGGAGATCTTAGTGTTGTCATGTTAGAGGAAAGTATAAAGAAGACTGAGAAGTCAAACTTTCCTCCCGTGTGCATTCATGTGCACCAAAATGCACATGAAAATCTTTGGCTTAGTATAAGGGAGAAATATTTACCTTTATCAGAGGCAAGCTGGGCAAAGGTTGCCCAGAGGGGCCATAAAGTCTTCATTGTTGAAGATAATCAAAACGTGAGCAGAACTGGCAGAATACTGTGCTCCAGCTGGACCTGTTTTGAAAGAAGGGTGGATTACAGACCCCTGGAGTCCCTTCCAACACCATTCTGTGTTAAGCTGGTCACCATGTTTTAGTGGAAGGTACTTTTACCAATTCTTTTTAAAGGATTACGGATTCAGTCAGGGAACATTACGAAATAAGCTGTTGTAAGTTGGTTTTAAACCAGCATTAATAAACAAATCAACCCACTCTTGGAGTCTAGAGTAATCTATTCAAATACACGTGTTTAGACTTGAGGTAAAAACAGTGGTTTATACCTACCGAATGATGAAAATGCCACAGACAGCAGTAGCTTAGAATGACTTAGAGGTCACTAAAAGTATTCCCAAGACAAAATTTGAGACCAATATTATAGCAGAAGAGACTTTGAATAAATTTGGAAATAGAAATTAGAAATACGGTAGTAGTTCATGAGTAGAGAGTCTTAGTAAGACTTCTTCTACGACTGCCAAACATCAAAAGATGTTCAGTGTCCAAAGAAACAGAAATCGAGCTGTGAATAGAAGGCAAACCTAAGATATGAGGTTTAGGGAGCTTAGCGTATAAAAGGGAGAGCTGAGGTTAAGGCCATAAGTGTGAGAAGCATGTTGTATATGGTAGAGGAAGTGGGGAGAAGCCCATGGATTTGCTACCCTGGACCAAACTAGTGACAGTTGAAGCAAGGTAAGTTCAGTAGCATCATATTCAGCTGTGAGAATTAACTAAACTTTGGAACAATGTAAAAGGGAAGATCATGGATGTATCACATTACAAACTGTAAAACGGGGTAGTCATCATTAAAAAAAGTCTCAAAGTAGATGAAAGACTGCATACACATGAAAAGAACAACAGCAGGTTGAACAGGTCAATAATGCTTGCCTGATACCAATGGCATTTAAATATTTTTTTACTCTTGGTCTCTTGAAGACCTTGATCTTAACTGTTGTTTTAAAAAAACCTGTTTTTTGGTGGTTGATAGGTGAAACTATAGAGCATGAGCTACACCCAAAACTGAAGTGGGAGAAGGAAGACACAAATAATACATCCCCATTGTAAATGCAGTTCATAGCAACAAAAATGCTTTTGCTAGTGTTAAGTTTTAGTAGCCTTTAACCGGTTACACATGCTGGCAAGTGGCAGACTATAGTAACAGAAATTCTTGCAGTGTACTTTAGATGCACCTTTTTAGTTTGAAATATTTTAATTGATGAGCTTGTTTGTATTGTAGCCATACCCCAATACTGTTATTTTACTACTTCAGAAGTCCTAGGTTTTCCACTCATTGATCCGTACAGAAGCTTCCTATCATAAAAAGGTCATGCACAGATTAACCAATTTTAATTTCATCTTTATTTCCATTAATCAAAGTTAGACTTCAAGTGGTTAGATCCTTTGTTTCACATTTCTCACCCTACAGCAGCTACCACAAAATGTGCACCTACTACCATTTTAATAGACATTAGTTGTTACTGTGGGGTTTTTTATCTGATACAAATATCACTTGCTAACAACCATTTAGATATTTCTCCATTCACATGAAATGGAAATAAGTTGTAAATTGATGGCATTCTGTTTGTTGCAGGTACAGCCAATATCAGAATGTGCAGCAGCTTTAAAACTCAATAGTGAACTGTTAAATAAGTAGCAGTGCCAAAGCATCTCAAGGATTTGACATACTGAGTTGTTTTACACTGTGCTACAAACAGGATTGCAAATCTACACAGTAGTGTCTATTCTACACACCTTTCTCCATTAAAAGGGCTTGCCTTTATACCCTTTTTAAAGATTTCATACCGTTGTGCAACTATGAATTTAATGGAATAAAGATGATGACTGTTAGAACTATTTGTTCAAATACATACTGTCTTCCATTAGGAGGCCATAATATATAATATAAATCTTTCTAGATTGCCTGCAAAGTACAGAATGCACAAAAGTTCCCAGTGCCTTCTACAGAATATTTTCACAGAAAAATAATTTATGCAAAAACATACATCTCCTCTCTACATAAAAATCTGAATTTCAAATAATCTTTGTATATTCCATATGGACTCAAGTAGAAAATGCATTTTTCTAGAGCTGTAAATACTCTCTTTTAAAAGAAATGGTTGGTATCTTTGGTTTACTTATATGCTGGATGAAAAAAAAAGTTTATAAGGGAATAACTGCCTGAGGTTCATCTTTCATTTCTCCTACCATGAACTTCAGATAAGATTAGCTGTTTAGTAGCTGAAAAGATAAATTCTCTATAAAACAATGAAACACAATGCTTATTTTAGTAGTGCATATTAAATAAGACAAGGCTAGGTTAGTAAAACTAACTCAAGGATCGTTATAAACCCAAAACTAATAATTCTACTTGTTCCAGAATTAGTAATCCTACTTTTTCAGTATCACCACCTTCTTTATAAATATAAAGTGTTACAAAAATATTCACAGTAATATTACTATTTAATCTATTATTCCATATATTATTTTGAAAAAGTGCTTACAGAGGCAAGAATATGAACTGCAAGCTGATAATCCTCCAGCTGCCTAAAGCCCTGATCCAGTTGTTTTAAATCGAGTTGACAACTTTCATTTTTCCTTCTACGAATGCTCTCCCTATTTTTACATTTTCATGTCAAATTAGGTAACAGTTGCTTGAAAAGTACAGTGTGATTTATGTTCAGTTGCAGATGAGCAATGTAGTTACTTATAAATAGGAAGTTTCATCTCTAATGTAAGGCTTTGAGAAATATTTAATTGCTTTCATTTTTTATCCTTCTTCTCATTATCCAATACTTTGTATTCATCCAGCACAGCATGGCCAGTTTCCTTTGCAGTTCTCTTTACAACAGCTTTGATACCGATATTTTCAATGTTAAATGCTGTCACACCAACATTGATTGCAGAATTCATAGCATTGTCTGTAGCATGGCCAGCATCCTCTCCATACCTAAAGAAAGAGAGCAGTTTTGCAGATTTGTATACTTAGTTTTTTAATCTTCACTGGAATTCTTTTGAAAGTGGAAATTTAGGCATTACCAAGATCAACCAATAAGCACAGAGCCTGAATGTCTTAAGAATAAAATTAGAAATTACAAAGCCATTTGAGTAAGGGCTGCTCCTCTATCAGATGGATTACCCTTTAAAAATACCAGTATGCTTCTGCCGTTCTTCCTCAAAAAACCTTCTAGTTTTTCTCCCTCTTTTCTCTCTAGTTTTGAAGAGTAGATGACTTATCTATAGAACCATAAGAAGAGGAAGGGGAGAGAAGTACAATAACCTCTAAGTTTGTACGTAATATTTGTATACCCTCTATACAGAAAGCCAACTGTATCCTGGGCTGCATCAAAAGCAGTGTGGCCAACAGGTTGAGGGAGGTGACTCTGCCCCTCTGCTCTGCTCTGGTGAGACTCCACCTGGAGTACTGCGTCATACAAAACCCCAAAAGGCTCAACAAAGCTATCTTGAGGCTATGATGAAAATTACAAAGAGAGAAAGACCTTTGGTCTCTCCCATGGAGTGTGAGTCCAGTTTCTTTATGCTTTCGGGGGAAGTCATTGGTCTCATATTAATTAACTACTTAATATACTCAACTGTACAGAGAGAGCATACTGAAGGAGGACAAGAATACAGTGAGAGCAGTAACTCCAACTGTTCCAGGCAGCCAGACATTTCCCCAGAGAGCACTGCAGTCAGATAAACCAGGCCAAAAGGAAGGATTCCTGGCAGCATCAGAATGCCAGCAGTCAGCAGAGTCACTTTTTCCCTATGTTTTTTTATGACCAGAGATTCTTTGAGGAACTCAAAATAAGGCCAGAGAGAAGCACAGAATATCAAAGAATCCAAAAATCTATAATGTTGTCAGTTCAGCAGCCAGAGCATATGGCTGGAAACAAGAATGAAACCAAATAAAAAGAGTTAGTGGTTTTTTTGTTTTGTTTTACTTTTAATTCTCTGATAGAGCAACAGCCTTGAATCACCGACATTGGATCTGCAGATCATAGAATTAATCTCACAGCAAAGTGCAGTATTTGTCAATTTAATTAGTTATTTTCACCTCAGCAGCATCATAATCCAGTATATAATATCAGCAAAATAGGTAACCTCATTTACAGTAAGACTGTAGTTTATACAATACAGTAAAACTAGTAACTTCTTAATATCCCATAACTAAGTTTTTAGTTTGCCTGTCTCAATTGCATAATTAACCTTTTTTTAGAGAAAAAAAAAGGTGTGTGCAGAGGTGTATACTGCATTTTTTTAAACTGTTTGTAAAAAAGACAATAGCATGAGACTTGAAATATTATTTCTGAAGCTATGTTTTCCCCCAATTCCAATCAACATGCAAATGATGAATATCCCTCTATAATTCCAAAGGTATTGTAGCTAGGTTTTAGCCAAGTTTTTTTCTATTTGGAGACACTGTGATGGTGCTCCTTTAGTCTTGTTTCCATTAAGGAGAATTTAGCTCATTCACTGGTATTTTGAATGGCAGAAATCTTTGTCAATGACAAAAAACAGCTTCCAAAAGAGATTATGTAGAATTTTAATACAATTATAAAGATAGGTTTTAAAGATTAAATATAATATTCCATTGTATTGCAATTAGCTGAAACATTTATTTACTTATTGTTTTTCACTCAGTGTCTGTTGTCTGCTCATCTCCATATTTTCTGTTTTTATATCTAAAACAAAAACATTCATTTGAATTTATGTGAAATGAGTACCAGTACAATACCTCCTGACATTCGTACCTACTGAAAACAAACATTAGCAATAAAGCACCACTGACTAGAACTTCACTATCTGGCCTCCTATTTGAAATGCATCACAACACAACCCTGAACACCAATCTGTTTAATACTGTATGCTAATGTTTATCTTGTTACCTTCTGCTAGGAGCTTGTATGCACCTTCAGCCAACCCTTTTTAATATCTCTTTTGCTATGATTATCGCCTGTTCCATTTAACCTACATGCTATGGCTTACTCTTCACTTTCTATTAAACCTACTGCACTTTTTTTGAGGGGTGCATTTCCTATCTTTCACAATTATTTCAATTCCCTTATTCTCCATAGCATCTTCCAGTACATGCACTCAGCTTTCATCCTTCCATCATCTTAGAAACAATCTTAATCCCAAATGCCACTTTCCTCTTCCCCCACTATCTTTTTCTAAGAACATCTGTATTTTGCAAGTCGAGGCTGTTCTATTATTGCTATTTATGCCTTAGATTTCCTTACATAGTTTTCTTTTTTTGTACCTCCTCACTATAGCCAGACCTGCTGATAGATGAACTTCTTCCATTTTTCTTAACTTTAGCTAAGTTTGCAAAAATTCAGGATTAGAGCCAAGAGGTTTAAACCAGTAACTTTTTTCATAATGACATTATACTGTAGAGCGAAGATAAAAATCTGAACATTACTTGTGACATAGCCTGAAGCTGTAATACTTCTACAAGAGACCTAAAAAAATATTTCACACAGTCATTCACTCATTTCATATTTTTGCTTACAGGAGATGCTCATTACTGTGCACTTAGCACCTTATCATGTATGACATAATTATAGCAAAGCAGGTATTTCAGTTAGTGTCCCTGCACTTTCATAAGTTCTTTTTTTGCCATTATTCAAACAGAATGACAATGTACTACAGAAGATAAAACCAATAAAAATATAACTTACTTGTATTTGACAGTTTTTACAGTCTCAGTTGAAACACTTTTAGCAATGCACTTCGCTGCACTTTCTAAACCTTGCCACACTGTTGATAACCCTGTAAAAACAATCAGCTTGAGTTCACAACTTCAGAATAATGCAATTTTAAAAAGTATAAGGAATTTTGATTACCTTGAACTCCACTTGCTGCTACAACCAGAGCACCATCAAAAGTGGATTTGCCATCTTTATCTTTCTTAAGGGATTCTGGAACTAATTTGCTGCCATGCTTCTTCACATGTGGAGCCAGCTCCCTTCCGACACAGCTCGCTATAGAACACACTCCCTCAACTGCCATAAAACAATGGCATGCAGATTATTCAGTAAGAACAAAGAACATCATCCACACTTAAGTACCCAACTGATACAAAGCAACCTTATTTTTCAGATTCTGCAGTTTCAGATACTAAGAAACAAGTAAGGTTGGTCTTGTGTCTAAAAAGTGCTTTAAAAGAAATACACATCTCACACTTCAAATTTCAAGAAATTGATTCTATTGCTTTGTTATCCTGAACTTGTAGATAGGGAACAAACTGCTGCTTTCCTGATTTGCTTTCTGTAAGAGTCCTTTTTACATCATTCCAGCTCTTCAAAGTAGTTCTATAACAATTTGCTTTAAAACTTGGATGAGTCACTAGACAGTAAATATGAACATTATATGCAATTAAATAGCAAAATGAAGTTACTGAGAGTTGTTAGGGTTGCCAAGCACCTCTGAACACCAGGCCATTCCTATCTGGAAATTTATATGTAGTCATATAGATTTGTTTCAGGTGTGTGAGTTTAAAAATATACACAGTGACAGTAGAGCTTTTAAAATACATGGTTATCAACTTAAGGAAAAAGAGAGACAATATTCAAATTAACTGTCTAAAACTTTCAAAAGTATGTCAAACTTAAGACTATACAGACTATTGTTTTAGGAAAGAAAAAGATGTCTCAAGGCCAAGCAATAAATACGAGTCCTGAAGCATGTCTGCTGCAGGAGATAACTAGGCACAAACTACTGATCTCTGGATTTCATCAGGTCAGTTCCTCCTCCTGGCCTCCTTAACTGGCTAGAGAAACCAGCTCTCATTTTACAAAGTATTTATTATTTAAGATAAAAATATATATTATGAGATGGAAATTTTTACCTAAGAACTGGCTGACTTTCACTGCTCCTCCAGTAGCCTGTTTTGCTACATGAAGTCCCTTTGCTACAGTTGGATTGACTTCTACAGGTTTTTCTTCTGGTTGAATGTGTTCTCGCAGTTTAGAAGCTCCTTTGTGAATAGCTTTACCAGTATATTCTGCTCCTTTCATTAGGCCCCAGCTTACCCAAGATGCACCTAAAAGGCAAAAATTGCTTTTCTTAGAATGTACAGTTTTACAGATTATGATTCCTACAGCTATCCCTTCTCTACCTCTGCAAGACTGACTTTAGAAACAGTCCTGATTACACAGTCTGCATTTATACTCTTCCCTGAATGGGCCAGCATGAATTCCTACAGTAATTTCTGCTCCTACACCACTGCTTTTTAAATTAATTTTATTTAAGTTTAATACAGCCAGCCTTCATCCAAATGTCAGCTTAATACAGATAATCAGGTTTTTAATATATATCCAAGCCCCAGCTAGGTGAGAAGTGATAGAACGGCATGGCACATCTCAATGCTATTAACACTCATGAAAATATGCAACCAAACCCTCTAGCCCTCCTTGCAGATTCTACTTATTACAGTCAGCTGGTGGTCATTAGTATATTCCAAAGGTTCTCAGAGGAAAAAATCCCACGTTTATCTGCAGAAATCACAACAGATGCCTGCTGTAATATAACTGCTCATACAGGGGTAAAGTTGTTCTGTCACAATGGTCTGAGTCACAGGAGGTGATGTCCTAACAGTATCACGTGAGGAGCCAGATTGATTTGCAACAAACAACACTGTTGGCAATGGATCTATATTCTACACTGTTTTTATAAAGCTCATCAAAGCATCCTTTAGATGACTACAATTGGAACTAGTGAACAACTACTTCTGACCACTCAGCTTCTACCAACACACACACATAAGCCAGCAGTGTGCCCAGGTGGCCAAGAAGGCCAATGGCATCCTGGCCTGCATCAGGAACGGTGTGGCCAGCAGGACCAGGGAAGTGATTCTTCCCCTGTACTCAGCACTGGTGAGGCCACACCTGGAATATTGTGTTCAGTTCTGGACCCCTCAGTTCAGGAAGGATATTGAGGTGCTGGAGCAGGTCCAGAGAAGAGCAACAAGGCTGGTGAAGGGACCCGAACACAAGTCCTGTGAGGAGAGGCTGAGGGAGCTGGAGTTGTTTAGTCTGGAGAAGAGAAAGCTCAGGGGAGACTTCATCATTCTCTACAACTACCTAAAAGGAGGTTGTAGCCAGATGGGGGTTGGTCTCTTTTCCCAGGCAGCTATCAGTAAGACAAGAGGGCATGGTCTCAAGATATGCCAGGGGAAGCTTTAGGTTAGATGTTAGGAAGAAATTCTTTACAGAAAGGGTAATCAGGCATTGGAAATGGGCTGCCCAGGGAAGTGGTGGATTCTCTGTCCCTGGAAGTGTTCAAGAAGAGACTGGATGTGACACTTGAGTGCCATAGTCTAGTAACTGTGGTGGTAGTGGATCAAGGGTTGGACTTGATGATCTCAGAAGTCCTTTCCAACCCATCTGATTCTATGATTTAGTTGAAAATACTGTTTAAATGTCACTCACAGAGGTTTATATTCAACACAATGCTCTTATTACAACAGTACCTGACAAGATGCCATGGGCAACCTTCTCACTCCATTCTGGTAACTCTTTCTGATCTTTTGCTCCTTCGGGTTGTGGTTGGATATGTACAGTCTGAGGCAAGTTAACTGCATCACTAGAGGCTTCTGAAGGCTGACAAGGGAAAGCAAACATCTGAGAATCTACTACACAGCGTATCATCAAGATTTCTGGTTCAGATCATACAACATCCATTATCAAATAATACTAACGTTGTGCATGCCTTGGGTAAGTGTACAGAAACTCAAGGGAAATTTAAGACGCAATTACTTTTGCACCGAAATGCTATGCATCCAGAAAAGTTTATCAGATAGGTCAGCATTTTTCCTACACTTTCTTCATCCAGCTACATTGAAAAGATTTGCTTGCCAACACAGACATATGGTCAAAGAGCTAAGTAGGGAAAACTAACAGTACAAGTTTACTAGCACAACAGGTAAGAGACTTGTCCATCTATCATTTTTATCTTCTCAGAGAGAAGTCCACTCTGTTGTTATTCAGCATAGGAACTGCAGTCTTTGGTGAGAGAATCCAGCTGCACTAAAGGAATGCAGCTGTCCTGGTTGGTTTTTTTCCTCATCCTTTCCTCCCAAATGAAAAAATAAAGGACATCATTCATGCTATGTGCTGTTGATGCTTTTGCAGACTGGCACAGCCAAGGCACACACCACACTGTGCATGATACTGCTCCCTATTTAAAGTTGGGTGGACAGGTTCTGTGTGATTTCATGTCAAACACTACAGTTTCTGAAGTAGGTGTTAATCATTCAAACACAGCAACCACCACCACAGGCTGCTTAGTGTTTCTAAAAAGTTTAACATCACTTTACACAGATGGCATACAATGTGTATTTAAACTTTAATTACAGAAAGCAAAAAAAAAAAACTAATAGATCTAGGTTTTTGTTAAGATTCTATTTTTAGAACTTTTCTAATGTAAAAGTAAATGAAAACCCAAAACATTTCAAAGATTGAAAACACTGCTAGTTAATGATAAATAGAAAGAAAAAAACTTTTTGTTTAGCTTAGAAGAGTCTAAATGAAAAAACATTATAGATTAAACCGATAGGCAGAACAGAATACACAATGTAGAATATTTGCTATTACATGGAATTCCTAAATTCTCCTGAAACATTTACTGGACATAATAGCAGGGTATTGCCCATTGCTGACTGCTGCAGTAAAACGAAAGCAAACCAACATTAACAGAAGAGTGTAGATTAAAACTTGGAAGGTTGCTACCCAGAAGGTTAACACTGTATCACTGATATATCACAATTACTGCTTGACAGCAGTGTGAAATCTTATGTTCAAGAAATGTTTTCAGCATGTGACCAAATTACCTCAATAAACAGCTATAGGTAAAAACCAACCAAACAAAAAACCCAACAATTAAAAGACCCAGATGTTATTTATTTACACCACAGTTTGGGTCACTATATAGAAAAACTGTCAACACGACTTCTAAGGACTACACTAAGGAACAGAAATGGATTCTCTAATAAGACAGGTGACTCAGTACTATAATTATATTAAATATAGTTGTCAACTAGATCCTCATGAGTACCATGTAAAACAGACACATTAAATGGCTATCAGACTAGGCTTTGAAATATTTGTGCTATATCACAGTTTTCAAAACTCCTCAAATATGCTGACTTGAAAAATGTGGTAGCTTGCAGTAACTGAAATTGCTCTTAACAAAAAAACAACCAACCAAAGCAACAAATACAAAAAGCCAAAACAGCCCAACAAAAAAACAGCCACAAGACACAGCAAACATTGCTGCTGTCAATCAAATCAGCAGTTCTAACACGTATTCCAGTGACTCTTTTTTGTTTACTATACATTTTGGAATCACTGTCCTGGCATTTACCTGGACTTTGTGGCCAGACATCTGTTTAAATTTATCTTCAAAATGCGCTCTCTCAGTTGCTGGGAGCTCTGAAGATAACCCTAATCTCTCATGGGATCCTGGCACCTGTGACATTGTATCAGGGAACATTAACAAAAATGAAGTTTTAGGACAATAAGGAGCTAATGAGATATCCAATTTGAACCCCTACTATGCAGGAAAAATTACAGCATTTTATCTATTGAGTCCTGCATTGAAATAGCACATACTTTCCCCTTCTAAGTAAAAATTAGTGGCCACCTGTGCTAGTGAAATTTCCCACTGAACTCAACAGGATTTATACCATAACAGAACTTCACCCTCATGGCATGCTCCAAACTGGTCCTTCATCATCACTGTATTCAACTCTTGGTGATTCAACAAAATTCTCTCTTTCATGAAAACACATAATCTTGCTATGAGCTCTGAAGTAGTTATGGATTACCACTCTTCCTGAAATGGTGCCCCAGTGCTCTTACAATAACATTTTGCACCTTGTTTCCAGACACTGTATGTTACTGCACCTTTGTTGGACTATGGGGCTTTTTCCTACCTGTCAATATTTTCTCTACCTCTCAATATCTTACTGCAATAAGGCACCAGATTTATCTGAGATCCTATCTGAGACAGATTTTTGAGGTACACACTATTTTCACAGATCTTCTCTGAGGTATCTTAACATCTTTGAACTGTAAACACATTTGGGCACCATATTCCAAGGATATCATCATCCAAACTTGTGTGCCTGTGTGTGCACACACAAAGGGAAAAATATGATTTCTCTGAACCTCAAATTTTATTTTGAGTTCTATGTTCTCTTTTGGAAAAACAGAGAAAATATAAAAAATTATCTCCAATTACGCTCTGTGCTTACAAATTAGTATTTTAAAAATTCTGTATTCCTATCTCACAGGGTCTAGAGTTTCATTACAAAGCTGCTTAATCTTGGCTACTTTATCTATTTCTCATTGGTCAGCTTACCAAGCAAGACACAAAAATTTGCAGTTTTACACAACTAAATGTAAATGTGAGAATATATTGATGACTTATACCTCTCCTTATTGGTAGAAACAGGCAGCCCAGAAATTTACCTGGATTCGAAGGTCAGACATCTGTTTTAAGAGATCCTCAAACAGCTCTCTGTCAGCTGCTGGAAGTTCTGAAGACAGCACTACTCCTACATAGGACCCTGGTATCTGGGACATTGTGTCAGGGAACATGTAGACTCCAGTACTGCAGCACAGAACAGGAGACTGGTTACACATCAGAGGATACAACCAGTCACAAACCTAGAAAAGACAAGTACATGAACAAATTAAAGGATGCTTTTAAAAAGAAAGACAGACAGAACATAGTGATAAGCACCACAAACTTGATTTTCCATAAAGTTTCTAGTGAAAGGTTCCCTGCCAATGGCAGGGGTGTTGGAATTAGATGATCTTTAACGTCCCTTTCAACCCAAATTATTTTATGATTCTATGATGAAAAATAAAAAGCCTTATGCCATCTTGGGAAAAAAAAAAGGAACAACAATCCCAAAAAACTAAAACCCACATGACTCTGGAAATACAACTCTTCATTCGTTCTGACAGTCTAATATAGAGAAAATATTAATTTTTACAGGACCGTAATTCAGGCTGGTACCCTCTTAACTGAGGTCTAGTCTTGAGGCCCAGGTATAAAAGTCAGTGAAAAGAACTGCCAAACAAGTCAGGATTCACAGTGCCTGTACCATCCTGTAGAACTCAGGGCAGGTTTGTATGATAGGATAAATAAAATGTATGATTGTCACTGGCCTATTGCTGAAGTCTGCTAACACAGGTGGAGCTGAACCAGCAGACCCAAAACCAGGAAGGAGTTTTTCTGTAAGAGACTTCCAACAGCCAATCTTAGCAACAACCAAGAAGAACCAAAGTCAGAATCCACAACGTTCATAACAGAACATGCCCACATGAAGCAAGCAAGGACTGAAAAAATACAGATAATGCATCTTTTTTATTTGTAGTTCAGAGTCTGGACCAACAAGGGCACCATTTCTGCAACATCTATAACATCCTTCATATTATCACAAAGATATTTAGGCTTTGAAGAGCAAGAACTTAAGAAGATTTCCTGTTAAGAGTTTTATGACAGTTCCTGAAATTTTAATTAAAGGAGAAAATTATTTTCCTGTTACCTGAAGAAATGCAGGTGGACGATTCTGAGCCGCTTCACTATCTGTATCCAAGAACTTCACAATGCGTAGATATCCAGGATACGAAGGAGCACTAACCTGCCCATCAGGAGTCACAAAAAATATTTGTACTCCCTGGGGAATCAAGATCAGCTCATCTGCATCCACTCCCAGGTTTTCCAGGGGAGGTGGTTGAGTGCACTTGTAATAGTCCTCACCAACAGAAGAAAATTCCCCAGAGTCTGTGCCATAAGACACAGTAAAATGGCCATTGGTAGCTTGAGGAGTATAGGCAGGAGGTGCTTCATTTGGCAGATAGAGAGGTTTTCCTGAGGATGGACTCATAGCTGGAATTTGCCCATGGCTCACAGCTGCAACACTTCCATCTGGTGCAGATGGCTGACTTGGTGCAAACAGATAATTAGGAGCAGGAGGTCTTTCTGGCTTTTCTTTGGATGGAATGGATGGGTATAACCTGGGCACCCCAGCAGGGGCATCCATCGTAGCAGGACTTGCTTGTACTGGTGGGGTGTTTTGCTCTAGGCTGCCGAGTCGAGCACGAACGTTTTGCAGGGTCTCCCTCATCTTCTGCTGCATTTGCCTGGCAGACTCCCACTGGGACCCTACACAGGCAGGACCCTCTGATGGAATGCTAACTCCTCGGAGCAAGTGGTCAAGCCCCTTCTTATAGTAACTTCTTGCCTCTTCCTTCTGACCCAGTTCATCTGTATTCAATCCTTTATTGATAAAAATAAAGGCTTTCCTGTACTCTTCATTAATAGCTTTAATATTTGCATCTTCTTGTGTAACTGGATCCTGTGGTTGTTCCATTACTGCACAATAAAATAAAAATCAATAAAAATATTCATCAATAAAGCCACACAATGTTTACTTTAGAATAAAATGTCTTCTTAATGATGAACATACTGCATGGTATTAGCAGAAATCTATCTATTTGCTTGGGACAGTGTCTGATATGTAATGGTTATCTCCTAATAACGTTCAGATTGACATGATTCTAAGACAGCAAGGAATCTAAACCCATCAAATCTAGTTACATCAAAGACATTTATTTCTTAAAAGTTAAACATCAGAAGAACATGAACATGCCTGATACTAAATTTTTCATCTTAAAGATCAGTAGCAAACAGAGGAGTAAACAAATAACTTTAAAAATCTAACTTTTCCAAAAACATCTCTAAGGCATTAAAAATTCAGTTAACATTTTGTCTATTTAAATAAAGGCTGAACTTACAAACAGTACATTTCTATTTGAATAATTTAAGAGAAGGAACTCAACAGATTTAAACAAATCTTGATCAACTAACATCAACACACAGAACTGGGAAATACTTTGAACAGTTAAAGCTGTGCTTTACAGAATGAAAACAGGGAATTACTTATTTCCTTTACAGTGCTTATAGAGTGAGAAGAGGCAATTCAATTTACACTCCTTGCTCCCCAGGTGAAAAAAAACTGAAAGTATCAAAATGTACAGAAAGAAGGTTGCAGATTCTAGGTCTGTTTTGGAATGTATTCCTCAAACTGCCTCATGTATTTCAACAACTGAAGGGCAGGAAAGAATATGGTAGGTTTATTTGAATTCTAAAATGTGTAAAATCATTGTTTTAATGGTATGCAGATTGTCAGTCTTGGCCAAATGCAGAAAATACAAATCATTCTTGGACTAAGATAGTGCTTACAACACACAATGTAAAAAATGCCAGTGATCTGGTTTTTTACTGGCAGCCATGAGAGGCATTGTCAATTCAGAAAAATCAGGTAATTATACTAGAAAAGACTGTACCATGAACAAAAAAAAATGTGATACTATATAAAAACTTAAGAGCATATATTTTCAAGCAAAACCGTGATTCTCTCTATAAGATGGATGAAAGAAAGGAGACATCTGTCAATCACGATATCAAGCTACAGAAAACATAGGGTTAAGTAAAATCCAAGTGCAAAAATAAAAACACTTCCACTGCACATATAGAAGCACTAACCCCCCTGTGTGCAGCACTGGTGAGAACTCAGACAACGCTGAGCCACACTCAAGGAAGCTGCGCTGGAACAGGAAGAAGTAGGCAGAAAGTTACTGATTTTTTCCTGATGAATCGATCACTTTTTCCTAGAGAGATGTAGGTTTGGCTTATCAAGCCAGTACAGCAAAGGCTAAGAGATTGGATTAGTCTCCACAAATATAATGGATGAAAAGAAGGAAGTAAATCAGTAAAGAAAAAAAGAATTACTGAAATCCAAACTTTTAATAAAATCACAAAATAGTACATGCATTTAAATTTATTTAATGTCTCTTCTTGCTTTAGTCTAATTATCAACAAAGTAAAAAAAAAAAATATATATATAATCTGGAAAATATCCTTCTACTCTAGCAAAACCAGAGAAACTTAGGAAGTGAAGGTCATGAAAAGATTTTTAAAAAGGCAAAGATGAAATGCTGTGCTCTACTCCCACACCCTTTGTAATCAAAATGCAGACAGCACTTCTGTGACTGATGCATCTGCAGTCACACCACAGAAATGCCACGTAATCTGGAATGCATCTGTTCTTATGATGTGACAGAATCCAATTTCACACAAAAGACAAGATGTGTGGTTTCAGTCCAATGGCAGACAGACATAGCTAGGAATATGAGAGGGATGGCCTGAGAAGGCAACCCACGTGGAGCAGATCAGCAATGACTCAAGCCACCATGCTCACTGCTCATTCCCCATCACGTAGCAGAAAAATGAATCTTGGGCTGTAGGAGATTTTTCCGATTGATTGCAGTCACTGCCAACAGGATCAGCATCTTTGATTTACACATAAGTAAGTATGTGTATGGCGTAAGTGTGTATTTCGTAACCTCCAAGGACATCAAGTTCAGACGTTATAAGCATGCTTCTGACCAGCACAACAGCAAACAATTATAATGAAAGTAATTGGAAAGAACTCTCACAAGTTTGTGAATATAGCTGGGTCCTTACACAAAAGATTATACCTAATCATGCAATATATTTTATGATCTATACATGAACCATTTAGACAATGCTTAACTGAATTATATGCTAGCAAAAAAACCCTGGCAACAACATCATCTTATGTCAATGCTTGTACTTACTACTGAAAAATCCACCTTTTTTTTCAAGAAGGCTATAAAAGTGAAAAGTAATTTAACATCAAAGACCTCTGATTTGAGAATTGTAACAGAAAATGTTTAGAAAACTGAGAAAGGCAAATTTAATCTAACATCACAGTTACTTCTATATAAGCAAAATTTAGCCATTTGAGACTTTTAGTGCCTGTATACCCAATGCTGCATAAAGTCCTTTCTTAAGACTTCACATAAACAATCATTTGTGTGAACACAACTGCAATTCCATTGTCTACTTTACCCCATGTTTATTGATTCGTTTATTCTGGGTGAGGCTAAAGTGAAGATAATTTACTGATTTCAAATAATTCTTCTGCTAGTGATTGTTAGTATATAACAAGAAGAGACATCAAATAAAATCCTGAAGTCACAGCTACATTTCAACTTAGTTAATTAATTTACTATTCACTGTACACTTGTCATACTGTCAACCAGCACTGTTCTTGCTAAAGCTCAGTCGTTATTAACACCAGAAAAGGTCTGTAAGAGAACACTGATGTCAGCACGATCAGTGTCTACACAGCACTAGTGCACAGCAGAGTTACAAAAGCTGGCTCAGCAACCCGAAAAAGTGGGATTGTTGCAACTCATCTCTGATTGTCTGAAACATCCCAAATTTGCAGTATATGTGCAGTGTAGTTACTACCAAATTATGCATTTGGGTGGCAAAGCACTTGGAAATGGAGGAAGGAACTCATAGCAGATTTTAAGTTAAACACAACATGAATAAAAAAGCCCAAAGAGTTGAATTTCATTCTCAGTAACTTATTAAAACTAATAATGGCTGGTATAAAATAAGCATACCTAATTGCTCCCTCATAAGAGAACAATAAATACTCTCTGAATCAGGACATCAAAGTAGCAATCTGATCATATGCAAGGAATATCCTCAGTCATTACTATTTTCAGTGTATGACCATCCTTCCTCTGAAGCAGCAAAACCCACTTCATTAAGAAGTGGCACAAGGCAGACGTGAAACCTAAGACTTACTAAGAGGATTAAACATCCTGACTAACAGAGGTAAGACAGTCTTTACAACTCACTACTTTTGAAATGGGGGAGGTATACGGGAGGAAAACACAAAACAAACAAAAAAACCCCATACCAGCCTTAATCCAAGAGTTTCTCCTATTTGTCAACTGTTTTCTATTAGCCACTCATTAAGGAGAACTACTGTGCAGACAGAATTGTTTAAGCCTTATTTCTGTAGGGAAGGAGCAATTAAGAAAGTACTAGTAACTTTCAAGAATTTAAAGAACGAACTGAATTAGAACAAATGTTATGTGGAGTTTAGAACAATACGAACCAGGTACTAGCTAATAAATTTACCTTTTTACGCTTTTAATTTGTTTAAATTAATTTAAGAAGCCCTAAAATTTTTCATTAAGTGCTGGCCTACAGCTAGTTTTTAAGCACCTAACGCTAGATCATATCACAGACTAGACAACAGAGAAAGTCGGTGATCTGACATACGATAGTTATTCTTACTCTCAAAATTAACAAATACTTCAGGAAACTCCCATCCTCTGACATTTCAACCTACACCTTCTCAGGCTGGTATCCCAGCACCTACCTACATTCACCCAGCCAGCATGTCTAACTTTCCTCTTCTCAGTACTACTGTCTGTCTCAAGCTGTTTATGTCCACTGGACTGACTATGTGACCAACACGTCTGTCCTTGAACAGGCAGCAATCACGAGCATTGAGGCCATGCTGCTGAGAACACAGCTGCGCTGGGCAGGGCACGTCTCCAGGATGCAGGACTACCGCCTCCCTAAGATCGTACTCTATGGGGAACTTGCCACTGGCTGCCGCAACAGAGGAGCCCCGAAGAGGAGGTTCAAGGACTGCCTGAAACAATCCCTCATCCTTGGCCATATTGATCATCACCATTGGTCTACCCTGGCCTCCAATCGGGAGGCCTGGAGACACACCATCTATAACGCTGCTGCTGCTTTTGAGAACACACGCAGGATCACTCTCGAGGAGAAAAGACAACGCAGAAAGAATCGCGTCTTGTCTGTATCACCTGGGGAGTCTTTCTGCTGTGCCTTCTGCAACCGGACTTGCCTATCTCGCATTGGCCTTTTTAGCCATCAGCGCGCTTGTAGCAAGCGTGGGTAGAGCCCTTTCAAATCTTCGTTCGCGAAGCCTAGCCATGATGATGATGATGATGATGATGATGTCCAAATAAATGAACTTCCTTCCCGACTCCTTGGCCTGTATCTCCATCACATGCTTTCAACGCAGAGCTTTTAGGCTATTTGGCACTTCTCTAAAAGGGAAAGTGAAAAACCAGTCGGGCAGATAATGCCCAGCACCGACATTGCTCAGAGCACCAAAGTACAAAAACACTGCCTACCATTCCGTGGCCAAAGATTCCAAGATCATCATGGAAAATTTAGTATTACATAAGACTGCTATTTAATACTTTTTCATTAGCTGTGTGCCTGCCAGTTTCTGATCACTGCCAGCATTTCTACGCATTCAGACAAATCAAAACTATCTAGCACGAATCCTTTAAAAGAAAAAACACAAAATACAAGGAGCAGTCATACAAAGTGTTCTGACAAATAACCTCTCGCTTCCATAAGGAGACACTCAATACATTATTTATCATCGTGGTTACTTCAGCCTGCGCTGATCACTCGTCTCCCCACCTCCCTCCCTCCTCCCTCCCACCACCTGCCTACCGGCCGCCCCGCGGGGCTCCCCGCGGCCGCCCGGCCCTGGCCCGTTCCGTGCCCGCCCCAGCTGAACCAACGCCTGCGCCCGCGGGTCCCGCAGGGAGCCCCGCCGGTCCGGGAGGACCCCGCGGCCGCGCTCACCGAGCCGGGCCCCGCCGCCGAGCCGAGCCGAGCCAAGCCGAGCCGAACGATCCCCGCCTGCGCCGCCGCCTCCTGGGTCAGGCGGCAGCGGGCGGGGCCGCGGCTGTGCCGTCACCCCGGCCCGGCGGAGCGGGGCGGGGCGGGGAGGAGGGCGTGGGGCCTGGCGCTGAGGGGCGAACCCCTTCGTGTCCGATCGGGAGCGCCTTCCCGAGTGCGGCAGTGGCATTTTCTACAATTCATAAATAATAGTGAACTATGCAATTTATCCTATTTCTTCTTGCTTTGGTTTTTTTTTTTTTTTGTTGGTTTTGGTTTCGTTTGGTTTGGGTTTTTTTTGGGGGGAGGGGGTGGGAGGCTACACAGAAGATTAAAAATGAAAAATTGAAAGTGCAGAATTTTAGAGAGCAGTGCATCTCATACCGTATCCATAATTAAACAGGGTTTTTCTTAATGCTCTTGATGTTTGGAAGGAATAGATATCTGCATGTCGGTTTCACTTCCCCATAAATTAATTTCTCCAGGAACGTGGAAAATAACTTCTCTTTTGTCTTCTGGGTTTTGTGGCTCACACCACCATCAAGCAGTAATGTGTCAAACTGAGAACTAATGTATAGCCCCAGAGACAGCCAGTGTTTTTCAGTGGCCAAGTGGCTTTGCCTTTGTGATAAACTGAGTTAGTAATTTGACTGCATGTAGTCTTTTAATCTTTGCTGTAACTCTCATTAGGTGTGTGTGTGAATGTGTGTACAAAAGCACATTTATCCAAATGTAATACCCATATGTAATTGATACCAGTATCCAAAAGTGGAAAAACAAGCTCTAAAAACTGTCATTCTGAAAATTAAAAGTCTCCCTTTTCATGTCACATTTTCAAATTTCATTTTGACTTTTACTTTAATTGTGCCAAAATGTAGAGCTGCACTGCTTGCAGAGATGCCGTGGTGGCTGTCTCAAGGTGAAACTCATTTCCCACACTGGACAAGGTGGAGATGGCTGTCATCCTGAGTGCTGGGCTGTGGGACGGGGGAGCTGCATTTGTGAGCTGATAGTGTGAAAAAAAACCACAAAAAAACCCAAAGAAAAATTATCTTGGTAAATTTCCAGCACTTGCCTTAGAACATGAATACTCATGTTATCAATGAAACTTCCAACTTCTCGGTGAAAGAGCTGTTAGAATTTCTGAATACAATAATAATAATGGCCAGTCTTCGCGAGCGAAGATCCGGGGAAGGTCTTTACACCTTCCAGCCTGCGCATTGGATTTTTTTAGGTGAGACACAGTGTGCGCGGAACTGAGCCCACCCTTTAATCCTAAGGTTCATCTGCCGGGGCCAAGCGAGCTTGGACGGTGGCAGCGAGGTCCTTAGGACGTAGGTGGGTTGCCTTTAAGGGCTAACGAGCCCCACCTGCCCGGGAGTGGCCCTGACGGGGAATCGAACCCGGGTCTCCGTGGTGATAGCGCGGCGCCTTTACCACTAGACCACCAGGGGCTCCTGAATATAATATGGCCATATATTATTGCTTTGCAACTTTGATAATCAGTGCTAAAAATCTTCTGCCATTTGGCTTCCACATAGAAAATTTCTAACCAGGTTAAATCTAGCAAAGGTGCATTTTGTGGTGCATGGCTCTTTACCTGTGCTAGCTCTTCCCGGTTCTGTAGAGGCCCATTAACTTGCTTTCTCTGGTACTGCCATGTGCATGCCGATTGTGAATCAACCTTTGACACACTCAGGACCACAGACCTGAGGTCTAGGAAATTCAAAGTAAACCTTGTGTTTGGGTAGTGGCAGCCCTGTCCCTCACTACCCTGGCAGATGGATTTACCTCTTAGCTTCATTAAGTTCCAAAGTATCTCTGGAAGCTCGTCACACATTGTAATTTCTAGCATAATGCTTATCTAGGAATTCTCTGTTCCAAACTTTCCATATGCCCACTGTTCACTTCTTTTCCTGCCGACAAGAAACAGAGAGCAACCTGGAGGAGAGACAAGCTGTCCACACAATCAGGGAGAGTTCCTCTCTTCAAACACCAATGAAGATAATAAAGTGAGGATGATGTTTGTATATGAAGTAGTATGCAGCCAGATGAGAAGATGACTGGTGGAGAGGGCCATAAACGTTTGTTTAAACAGATGGTAGGATGGGCTTGGGTAGCTAGATATCACTGAATTACGTTATGTGCATATATGCAAGATTTGCATGGAAATAAAAACCAGTTTTGTGATGAAAAGTGGCACTCTCTTCCGAAGCAGTGCTGCAAGTCAATAGAGGGACATTTTAATTTTTTTTTAAGCATTCAGGGGTATCTTCACCAACACTGTTTCGTGGGAGCAGGCCTTGCGAGGTCCAGAAGTCAGTAAAGGGCACAGTAGCGTCACAAGCGAGGGAAGGATGAGTTGGTCAAATGTGCACTAAAGCTGCCTGGCTGTGTACTCTGAGCTTCCACCAGATGCTGCTCTGCCATATCACCCCCCCTCACAGGCCAGCTTGTATCTCCCATGAATTTATACAACCCCTAGTACTTTTGCTTTAAGTCAGAATTAGACTGAGGGATGAACTGCTATCACTATACGTTCCCTTCTATAGCTATAGAAATAAACTCCTTCTGCCTCACCTGAATCTGTAAAATTTAAACTGTATGTTTATGCTGCAAGTCTTCAACGTCATTTGTAAATGCTAACTCCACTTGTGGCAAGTGATTTCAATCTTAACAAACACCGCGGGCTTAATTTTGTCTGCACTTTCACAAAAAGAATTTTTATCAAGTATCTCTTTTATTTAAGTTCTGCATAAGCAAGGCAATATCTCTGCATATGTGTGTATTTAAGTATATAAGCATGTATATATATATCTCCAAGTTATTTAAACATCACAAATAGTACAATTATTGAGGGATCTCAACTGATCTGTCAATGTTAGCAAACATGGGGGGGTGATGCTGAGAATAAAAAATACGTGATAATTCTCCAAAAGCACTTACTAATATGCAAATAAATTTTTTTGACTCACATCAAATGTCAGTATGACTGTAACCTGGTTACGCATCTGATGGGAATCATGCTGCATAAACAGAGTGCTTTTAGTCAGTGGACCCCGAAACAGTGATGGAAGCAAAATAAATCGCTGTTGTGTGGGTAGAACTGAATAATTATTCCACAGCTAGTAAAGATAGTAAAAACTCACGTAGTAGATGAGTAGGTGATCTCCCTGTAATAATTAACTTTTTTCTGATTTCAAACTCCATAATCATTTGCAGATAAGATTTCTAAACCCAAGAGAGGAAATGGCAATAACAGCTGTCTGACAAAAGTAATATTGCACCTTTTTAAAATTATGCCAGCCACTGACCTCAGAGTGAACTGGCACTTCGTTAAGGTGCAAGAACACGTCTTCAGCATGTGTGTTCAGTGTTGATAGCCTTGAGCTGCAAGTAGGGGTAATGCACTTGACAACCTGGATGGCAGAAGAGTGCGAAACATCTGAAAAGGCACCTACCTCCTGAAACGATCTCATCTAGGATGCTCACTCCCAGAGGGTCATGGAATAACCTGGCTGTACTGCCTTGGGAAGGAGGAGGCTCTACCAGTTCAAAGACACAGATACAGCTCCAGATACCATGTCTGCATTGCATTTGACCACTTGTCAAGCTGCAGACATTTTGTAAAAGGTTTTTTCCTGCCCTTCACTGTGAGCAGTCATCTGTATGTGTGTAATCCTTAAATGCTGTCTCCCTAATCTGCTGTATTCTTGTGTTGAGTAGGGGTATCTTCAGAGTAAGCACAGAAAACCTAGACCATTTTATGGGGGCCCAGATTTAACATTTCCTACCTTCAGAGGTGCTACAAGCATAGTCCTCAAGTCCAGCCTAAGGAAAACTTTTCTGGAAAGGGATCAGAGTGCTCTTGGGGGGTCTAATAACATCAGGGCCTGTAGCAGTGGGGACAGAAATGCAAGAACTAGGGAGACAGATGATGGACCAGCTTAAATTGACTGGGAGTTCAGTTTGTTAATTCAGCAGTACATAAAGTTGACAAAAATGGTCAGAAATTGACAAAATGGTGAGAAGAGGAAACACCAGGGAAACATCCGGCTCTGTAAAGACTAGTGGTAACAAAACTCTTCTGTTGGATTGTTTATAGCTAAACACATTTCTGCCAGGACAGACGGATGTAAAGCTGAGCACCACAAAACTCAAGTTATTCATACATGTTGATTACAATATTGAGCTGCTGCTTGTTCAGTTCAGGGAAAAGATAAATTCAAATGATGATGAAGTCAGTATTCCATTATACCCCTTTGTGGCACTTTGGAATACTGGCTACTTTATTAGATATCAGGTAGGTGTTTTCTAGAATGATTTTACATACTGTCAGACTGCAGAAAGCAGCAGAGGTGGTGAAATATATTTCTTTCAGCACCAAAGTTGGAGGGGCACTTTGCACTTCATAAGCCTGGGAGTGAATTTTTTTACAATTAATAAGTACTGCGTTTTGCAATTTATCCTGGTTTTTTTGGTTGTTGTTTTAGGGATTTTTTTTGAGGGGGGGAGGGTGTAAGGCTACAAAGAAGATTAAAAATGAAAAACTGAAAGTGCAGAATTAGAAAGCAGTGCATCTCATACTGCATCCATAATTAAACACTTTTTTAACAGTCTTGATGTTTGGGAGAAACAGATGTCTGCATTATAAATTAATTTCTCTGGGAACAAGCAAGATAACTTCTTGTCTTCTGGGTTTTTTGGCTCATACCACCATCAAGCAGTAATGTGTCAAACTGAAACAGTACAATGAGAATACTGAGGGCTCAGCTGACACTATAAAACTTCCAGTTTATGAATCAAACGTAATAATAAGGATATTTGTTAAACAAAGTTTTTTGTAGAAATACTGACTTTTGGTAGATGAATCTCAAACTGGAAAGCAGATCTAGACTTCAATTTCCAAATGTGTGTTTTAACTTAATTATTAACTCCATTCAGACACAGCAGACCTCAATGAAGAAAACGGTA